ATAAGATCTCAAAATGTCCCCTCCTGGATTTTCTTTTCTTGCCAGAAAGACAAAAGTTTGTAAGGATCAACAGACTTGCACTTTTGACCAAGAAGGAATTTTAGAAATGTGACTCAATAGAGAAAACATCCTGTTTTTCAGGCTCAGCCATAGCAATGAAAAATAAAATTCTGAAAAAATATAATAGAGGCATGCCACCAGATAAACACATATAAATAACCACTTTTAGACTGCCCCTAACTTATAAACAAAATGTAGATGTGGTAATAACTGAAATGTATTTTAAAAGTAGAATTTGTTCTGATTAATGGGGAAAATTCTGTAGCACCGTTATCAAAGGAAATCAGAAAAAAGAAGTCTCTTTCTCAGGAGGCCATGGTAACTGTGAGCTGAGATCATTTGTATGTGGTGGGACGTGGAGGAGAATAGGAGATCATTCACATTTGAAGGACTTCAGTGGATGAATGCACTCGATTTGTCCCAGAAGCATTTCATTAAGAGGGAATAAACTAGCTAACATTGCCCAAATCAAATTCATTTAAATTAAATTCATTTAAGGTAATAGGTCAGGGCTGTTTCTCACGGTCTGTCTCTTTAATAGGGTATGTTTACACCACCAAAGTATCTAAAATGAAAAAGACAGAAAATGCCAAACGTTAAAGAAGATACAAAATCCCCAGAGATCTCTTTTATGTTGCTGGTGCTGGTGGGAGTATAAATTAGTACCATCAGGCTGAAAATCTAGCTGAAAGTTCAAAAGTTGAACAAACAAATGTTTGCAACTCAGTAATTCCACTCCTAGGTTTATATGGTCAACAGAAGTGTGTATATATGTTTCCCAAAGAATGTGCCACCTAGCTTCTGGTATTTTGTTATTATGGCAGTCCTAACAAACTAATACACATGTATATTTAGTAAGTACCAAAAGAAATGGGTAGCATTGTAGAAATACCAATTTGCCCTGAAATTAAATTCTTAATGCAGAAAATGTAAGAGCCTATACAAAAAATGGCCTTTGAGGAAATTCCAGCTCATGGCCTTTGCTCCACCTCTCTGAATCTAGCCCAGCTCATCTATTGCCACCATGCAATGCTCTCTGCTGTTCTAGGCCACTCTAGCTCCCTTCTCTGGCTCTCTTGAGCACCTATACACATCCTAGAGCACTGAAAATAATATATTTAACATCAGAACCTTGTTCTTATTATGAACCCTGTACTTAAAACAAAGATGAATATACCTGTCTATCTGAAGCTGGCATAAAGGGAAGGCAGACGGAGTCCCCTTGCCTGCTCACTCAATCCGCCACTCATCTTGCCCTGCCACTCACGCCCACAGTGACACCTGGCCACCACTGCATAGCTCTTTGGTTTCTTTTCTTTCTTTCTTTCTTTTTTTTTTTTTTTTTTGATATATTGAAAACCATTCGGCTTTATTTATTAAAACAAATTAAGTTCACATATAGTTTGAATAAAACATTTCAACCTCCATTATATGTATACTGGTAAAAATACAGATTATAAACACTCAATTCTGGTTCTTCTGATACTACGATCTACTGAGAGATTAGGATTTAAACTCCCTGATTTATATCACACTTCATTATTATTTTAAGATATTCTCACAAAACAGTAAGTCTCATAGTAGAACTGAGTTTGAATTAAATAAGAAACCTTCCTCTCAGTCTGAGAATCTAAGTAGACAAACTATGTAAGGAGTGAAGTTCTGCCTGGAGTTGGTACGGTTTTGGCTTCATGGTTAACCCATACGTAGGCGTCAGGTCAAGCTCAGCACTGGGGCACTTTTTCGGCTTGAGCTGTTGCAGAACAGCAATGATAAAAATGAATATCTCATTTCGTGCAATATCTTCTCCCAGACATTTCTGGATTCCCATTCCAAATATCAAAACTTTCTCAACAAGACTTTTATTCAGTTCTCTGTTTTCATTTAGCAATCTCTCAGGTCTAAATAAGTTGTGAGTATCCCAAATAGTTCTGTATAAAATAGAGACAAATAACATTTAAAAAAATCATTTTATCATTTTATAATTTTTGCTATTGTTGCCAACTTTTCCATAATAATTTTGTCTTGCATGAAATATTTTGTTTGGAATATCCTTTATAAATTTTTATATATATAAACATATATATAAAGCAGGTGTATATGTAAGTAAAGTATGTATGCATGTATATGTATATATAATTATGGTGACATGATTTTATATACATAATTATTATGGATATATATGTTACTTTTTCTTATAATATTTGACAAATATCATAAATGTCTAACATTATTGTACTTAATTTTCACTATAATGACTTCTGCTTCATTAAATAGTAAATAAAATACTTGACAATTTATTTCTATTTTTATTTTAAATTAAGAAGTAAACAAAATTCTTACAAGAATATTCTGAAATTGTGAAATAAATAAAAAGTAATAAATAGTCTATCTGTTTTGTTTTAAGCAAAAAAATGAGAATGATGAGACTGTTTGAGCCACATCTCTCACTCTGGTACAAATATGTTTAGGAAATGTTCTTTGTACATCACAGAGAGGAGCCGGGTCTCCCCAAAGCAGCTCTGATTGAGGGGTTGCCCATGGTTCCCAAATCACTGGGCATCGGTTCTCTCCTACCTCCATCTTTTGTTACAGGCACCGTATTTGGCTTGTCCGTGAAAACTAATGCGGCATGTTTTCTAATACATCCTAAACCATATGCCAGGGACAGACTTGCCTTCATAAAGAACTGGTCTTCTTTATGTGTAGATGTCACCTTCTCTCTAGAAGGAAAACTAGTTTCTCTCTACACCCGAGATCACAGACCTACACAGTCCTCCAATAAATTTTGCTTTGTTCTCATAATCTTTAAAATATTATTCATTGTTGATAACCTTTAAAAATCAGATTTCATGTGAAAATTTGTATTTCCAAGTTCTGTTTTATAATCGTAAAAGCTGACAACATTGGGACAACGTCCTTGCCAATAGTTCACTGGGCAGAGTTAGACGTAGCATATGACCCCTCCCCAAATGCTTCACCAAGGGCGATTCACTCGTTTTTGGTATTCTCCATTGCTCAGTAGCTGCTTGAGTTTGTGACCTCTGCTTTAGATTATACATGAATAATTCCCCATAATACAAAGTCTTGAATTACGCACTCATTTAGCCTAAACAAGTGCCTCCATACAAATAGTATTACTTTAGTAGCACCTGTGTTAACTTAGTTTTCTTGAACACTACTCAATAATGCATATGATCACAAGTTCTTAGGATACCAGAATACTTAGGATTATACCAAGCGAGAACAAATGCCATTCAATTTACACTGACTGTATTTCTTCTTACAGTGGGTATAAAAATGCTTAGTTTTATTCAGTACACTCAGTGGGTGCTTTACCTGGCTGAGAATTTCTTTATCTGTAAAATGGGGACCTGATAACACCATTGCACAGTGTTACTGTGGAGGCTCGGGGGGATACTTCAAGATTTTGTGCCTGGCACACAGTAGGGGTCTGTAAATATTAGCTGGAATCATTATTTCATCACCATCACCACTGTCATCATCCTCACTTTCATTCCATGGGGTTTCTTCATCTCAGCCCTTCCTTTTACAGCTGATATGGGTGAACATCTAAGTTCATTTTATTCAACAAGTATTTATTGAGGGCCAATTATGTGCCAGGCAGTAATCTACGTGCTGAGGTAGAAGAAAGAGAAAAAAAAAGCAACAATAGAAACAACAAAAAAAAAATCCCTGCTTGGTGTCTTACATTTCAGTGGGGGATTTCAGACTACATTTCAAATATCAACTGGTCATAACCGTGCCAAGGAGAAGCCCAAAAAGTCCTTGGCACACACCTTTCCTAATGAGCCACTTACGACATTGGATTTTCCCTGAATTGAATTTTTCCTAAATTTGTATTAAGATATCACCCTTCCCATTATAGACAGGGAGAGAAGACTGAATTTCTTTCCAACTTTTTTCCCAAAGAAACAGGAGTGAGGTTTGGTTAAGAAGAATATAAATCTTTCCCAGATCAATAAATTATAAACAAACAACCATGCAAGCAAATTTTATGTCAAGATGAATTTTAGTGACTTACTCATCATGGTTTACTTGATACATGTTAATAAAGATGCAAGTTTTCCTGGGAATAAAATAGCCATCCAGAGTAGTGTCTGCTGTAGTACTGGGAGAGCAAAATACAGCATTACAGGACAGCCTGTAAATTCAAATAACCCATCTCTAAACTGCCTCCCACAACTCATACACTATATTTCTTTATGTCTTTTTACTGTAATATTATATCTTTGTAAATCCTCATTCTTTCATTATTTAAAAAAATTTCCACCTCTTGTCAAACTAATAATTAAACATTTTTCTTATATGTATTAAACATATTGTACACTTAATATATTCAAGGCGTTTCCAAGAGCTAAAACTCTCACTGGAAAATTATCTCATTATTTTTATGACAGAGTAAGTAGCAGATCAAATTACATCAGGAAACTATTAAGGAAATTATTAACTACTTTCTATGTACTCAATGTGTTAATGTATATTTTCAATAGATTAGGAAAACAAATGTCACATCTCTTATTAATAGTCATTGGTAAAAAGAAAATGGAATTGAAACAAGGAAATATGAACTTTGATCACTGTTTTCAGTGAGATGTTAGGCACACCTTGTATTTACTCTGTGACTCCATTTTCTAGCTGTGAAGTGAAGGTGTTGGTTGTGTTGGATGATCTCTATGTTCCTTCTAGAGTTAATGTTTTATTTTTCGATGTCTCCTACTCCAACTGCTCCTGAAAACTGTTCATCTTTCCCCTTTATAGCCCTATAATTGTGCGTGGATTGCAATAAATCATGTCATGTAGCACTCCCTTTCTCGCCAGTTTGCCCCCACACTCACTTCTTTGCAGTAGGAGAAGCAGAGCATTTCCATTTGATGAGTCTGACGGAAGGCAGTGGACACATTTGTCTGAGCCTCCTCTGGGTTCTCTCTCCAGATTAGCCAAGCTGTAATAAAGATATATCTCATCTACAATCACCAATGGGCGGAACTTGGCAGAACAGATTTTGTCCTTCAAGGAGAGACCTGAGGTTGTCCAACCCAGCCAGAGACTGGGTGGAGGAGTATGGCTACTTCAGGTGAGAAGTATTAGCGAGTCTACTTCACTGAGCTCCAAGCCACATTGTGCAAACTAGCTCTGATCATTAAAAAAGCTAATAATCTAATCCCTATCTGATCTATGTCTATTTTGTAGCTGGTACTGAACTTTGGCAAATAATATGAATATTATTGAGTGTCCTCGAAACCCAACAAGGGGGAAGGCCAAACAAGCAATAGGCCTACTTTCTGGAAGGATTATTTCCTCTCATGCATAGGCGCTTGCCTATCTCAACACATTCCTGTCCACACCCCCTCTGTGCATTTAGCTGCTCAGATTCTACTCAGATAAGAAGTTACATGCTGCTATTTTATGGAAATGTGGTATATAGAACTTTATTTCACTAACATTGAAATATAAGAGTAAATTCAAGGTTTTCTTTACCTATTTATATGTTCCTAAAACTTTGTGTATAAAAGTGACTTTTTATCCAATTTTTAAGAAACATATATGTAATAAATATTTATTATGATACTGTTTGGTTCTTCGTGTGTGTATGTCTATGCGTGTGTATATATGTTATATGTAATAGCAAACTTTTGCTCCTTTTACTTAAGATTATTTGGTTTGGCTTATTTTAATTCATCTTATTTTAACATATTGATACTTTGTGGGCTTTGATCTATTTTCCTTTCAAATTGTAACAATAAACTCGCAGGTGTAGAATAGATCAATCCCGAACAATGTAAAAAGGCTGTCTTGTGTGCACAAAAATTCTTGGCTTATATCACAGTGCTCTTATTGGTCAATGCATTTGTTCTTTCAGTTTTAAATATTAATTTATTTCTTTACTTTTAATAAAACAATGAATACTTCTGTCCTAATATATATTTCTCCCTATCAATTAGACCCGCAGATAGTGTTCAGGGCCCTAATTTAGATGATCTCTTTTATTCCAAACCATACCCATAAACTTGGCAGAGCCTCTGTGTTCCTGAGTACTTAGCAGAGGTGTAGATCATACTCTTATGAAGCACCCAAAGTCTCCTTATAAAACCCAAAAGAGCAAAAGTGGCTCTATGAAAAAGACACCTGCACTCGAATGTTCATAGCAGCACAATTCACAATTGCAAAGATGTGGAAACAATCCAAGTGTCCATCAGTACATGAGTGGATTAATAAACTGTGGTATATGTGTACCATGGAGTAGTACTATTCAGCTTTAAGAAACAATGGTGATATAGCACCTCTTGTATACTCCTGGATAGAGCTGGAACACATTCTACTAAGCGAGGTATCCCAAGAATGGAAAAACAAGCACCACATGTACTCACCATCAAACTGGTATTAGCTGATCAACATTTAAGTGCACATATAAGAATAACATGTATTGGATGTTGGGCAGGGGGAGGGGGGAGGAGGGGACGGGCATACGCACAAACAATGAGTGCGATGCGCACCTCCCGGGGGATGGACACACTTGAAGCTCGGACTTGGGGGGGAGGGAGGGTAAGGGCATCATACGTAACCTAATCATCTGTACCCCCATAACATGCTGAAAAAAAAAAAAAAACGTCATTGGGACAGAAGAGTTTCTTCTCTCAAGGGAGGACTTTTTTTAAAAAAAAAATTAAATTAAAGACGAAATCTGCTTTAACTGAAAGAGGAGTTGACACAGAAGCTAGAAGAAAAGGGATCATTGTGAAAAGATACGCATGGTGTGTGAAAAAAGAGAACTAAAGAGGCAAAACACTGGGAACTGCGTCACTGGCTGTCTGGCCTTGACTCTGCTCAGCCGGTGGCCTGGCTCTTCGGGACACTTCAGCTGAGGGCACCGCGTGCTGTTGTGCCAATTACTAAAGGATTACATCAGTTTCCCGGGGGCGGGGGGAGAAAAATTCCCACTCCTTCACCATTTAAAGGGAGGAGAGAGAAAAAACACTGAGAATTCTACTTTTTAAAAAATTTTAATTGTGGGAAACAAAACAGATCAAAGAACCAGAACTTTGGTTTTCCACATACATATTTAATGAAGGCTATCTTCTTAACCTGCGCTGGCATGCACATATGCTGGAGATTGTGGAGCAAATTTCAGTAAGCTTTCAATTATCTCTAAATGAACACTCTGTTTAATCTATTTGTAACAGCATTGGCTTCCTTAGTTTATTGTCCAGCAAAATTCTAGGCTACTGAAAATGAAGCCACATCAGCAGGAAGCTAAGGCTGCTCGTCAGATGAAGTTAAGTGAGTTTGTATGACATGGCATAGCCGAATGACACTATGGTTAGGTTATCTATTTGCTTGGAACTTCCATACCCTTCTCTTCCTTGATGAGTGCACATAAGGTGAAAGTTAATGGCATCGTAGTTTAGTAATGAAAGGTGCTCACAAAATATGCTTTTGCTCTACACAAAAATTTATTAGAGGATTTCAAAATAAAAAGTAATACTAAAATAACAACATGTAATAGATTTTCAAGCACTTTAAGTATTCCAGTATCTAAGATACCTCACTGTCCCCAGCCTACCATTGGTTGCTATTTCAAAGTAGAAGCATGTGCTTACCAATGTGGAATAGTCAAAGGAAGAAAGGAGACAGGTCGGAATACTTCGTTTACGAAAGCTTCTGTATAGGGTAAAATTTTCCTATCTTCAAATTTGGGTGATCTCAGCTCAATGTTTCTACCTTAAGGAAAAGTATTTTTTTAATTTAGTAAGAATAATGATAATTACAAGAATTACATTTTCATCTGAAAGCATGTTACCAATTTCTTCTTGAATTTTGCCTTGAATATCTGGATAGTGTATCAAATAAAGAAAGCTCCAATACAGACATGTTGATACTGCTTCAAACCCTGAAAAAGAAACAAGAGATCAAGTTTCATGGATAAAAAGTATTAGCAAAATTGGTATGCCTAATATACTTCACATAATATGCTAAGAATTAGGAAACAGAGATCTAAATACAACCAAAAATTAGTAGAATCACAATGAAATAATTACTATATATTAAGGTTGATTTCAAAATGTAGTTGTAACCTCTCTCTCATTAGTATAACCACTATTCAAAAGAACAGAAAACAAGAAATGTTGATGAGGATGAGGAGAAATTGGAACTGTTGGTGAAACTGTAAAACGGTGCAGCTATTATAGAAAAGAGTATGGAGGGTTCTCAAAAATGAAAAATAGCATTTCCATATTATGCAGCAATGCTATTTCTGAGTATATGTCCAAAAGATTTCAGATTAGGATCTTGAAGAGATATTTGCACACCCATGGTCATTGCAACTTTATTTATTATAGCCAAGATGTGAAAGCCGAT